TCTTTTATTGAAAGGTTTTCGAAACTAGATGTGAGCCTTTGAAGTTTTGAGCGTTTCACAGAAGGAGTGCCCTCATGAATAGTTTGTAAGATATCTCAAGCCTCTTTTGCGACTTCACAATTACAAATACGACTAAACTCTTCAGGTGTGACAGCGTAAAAGAGAGAATTGATAGTTTTATTATTCCAGCTACTATTTTGATAATTAATTGTGTCCCACTTATCAATTGGTTTGGGAAAAATTACTCCATCAACGGTAATTGTTGGTTCGATCCACCCATTCATGACAGATTGCCAAACTTTTTCATCTATAGATTTAAAAAACGATCTCATCCGAGCTTTTCAAAAAGAATAATTGGATCTGTCAAGTAGGAGTGGTCGAACCATAGAATTTCCCTCACAAATTGAATCCATTATCACAAATCAAACAAGATTTCGCTCTAAAATAAAATTTTTAAAAAAATAAAATGACCTGCTCTGATACCAATTGAAAAATATAGAAATCCCCTAGATGTTGATTTGTGATTATGTATCAATTTTAAGCAATACATAACAATCCCAATCAAACAATCAAGACAAATCGACACAACGATTTTACGTGAAAAATCACAATTGGACACCTCCAATTGTGATTAAAAAAAAACCACGGGCAACAGCCACAAAATAATCCACTAAGAAGATATAAAGAAATTACACAGGTATACTCTCAATTATCTAGCGAATCCACGCCCGAATTGAACCAACCTCTATGTGCCTCTTTTAACCCCGTCTTTACCTCGGAATTGTCTTAATGATGAGTCATTCCGGAATCCACCAAAGCTTCAGGCTCAAATTCTTCAGAATCCACCGAAGAACAACTCTCACTTTTGTGTAGAACAAACAAATAATCTTTTAATGTATACTCTTCAAATCAGGAGTTGAATATTCAATCAAAACATTAAAGAAAACCAGCAAAATATCCCCAGATATAAATCCTAAAAAGTTATTTTTCAAAATTGATTCCGAAAACCAAACTAAACAGACTTGAGTTTTTTGTTTTCCTTATTTTTTTATTTTTTAGTGAAATTTTTTAATATTTTATGTAGTTTTTTACTTTTAGATACACATAATCTAGGTATACTTAAAAAGTATAATGTTTATGAAAAAAAATTCAAAAAATTCATCAAATACAAAAAATATACAAAATTACTAAAATTTAGTACATTTTTATATTTTGTTCTATTTAATGAATTTTGTAAAAAAACATTGGTACAAATTATATATTTTTTAAGTATATATCAAGATTAAGTAGATATAAAAAGTAAAAAAAAATAAAATATTTAAAAAAATAGCAAAACTATTAAAATATGAATTAAAAATTTTAAAAACTCGAAACCATGAAGTGTAATTTCCATGCTATTTTAGGATTCTTATGATCGTCTCAAAAAACTCTATCAGCTGTAATGTTGAGTATTTGAAATGGTATCGTTGTGTCTAATGTGATTGTATTTGGTTAAATAAATTATGGCCTTGTTTGGAAATTTGGCTATTTTAATTATTTTTTGACTTTTTTAACTATTTTATGAGATGAAAAAAATTGTGTTCAGGGTGAATTGTGGATTTTTTTTGGTTGAATAGATGGTTGTGAAAGAAAAAATAATTGATTGAAATGTAAGATGTGATATTTTGTCTTATTAGTATTTTAGTCTTTTGTGTGTGTGTGTGTGCGCGCGCGCGCGCGCGTGTGTGTATGTGTGTCTTTATTAAATATTTTAATCAAGATCAAGTTGCCAAGCATGATGTAATAGTACTGGAACAAATATATGTAATGCTATTTTAATTTGATTTTTATTAATTTAAATAGTACATCTATCACTTTATGTTAGTCTTTTAAAAGATAATTGGACAAGTATAAATATGAATAGTGTAGATTATTCCTTCAAAACCATCAAATATCTTCTCAGCTTGGTGAGAGGTTTTTTGGTACCCTTCAACACTACTCATCTTTTATGGCACTTGTTCCATCGTTTCTTAAAAAACAGTTTTAAATTGAAGAATTTTATTGTTCATAAAAATTCTTAAAAATCTTTAAGAAAAAACTCCCAAATTTATGCTAATGATGTGTGATAATGCTAAACTCACAATTTGATATTTACAATGTCGAAATAACATTATCACAACAGTGCAAATGCTCGGACATATTGCTTGATTGCTTAGTTTTTGACAGTTGGATGTTCAATACTTGCACTTTTGGATACTGAGGTGAAAAAATGGGGAAAAAAAAAATGATTGTAGTAGTGGGAAAAAGAAAGAAAGTGATTATAATTTCTTATTATTGTGTTTTGATAAATAAAAGAGAAGATAATGTGATTTTTCACTTATCTTATTTGGATAGAGTCAATAAAAGAAAAGCAAAGAAAGTATTTTATTTTATTTTACCAAAATAACATTCCATATTAATAAGTTATTTTTTTAGTTTCTTCCACCATAGTTGATATTTTAAAAAAGTTTCATTAAATTCATTTCTTTTCTCACTAAATTTCAACTTTTGGGGAGAAACAAAACACAATTTCGGTGAGAATTTTCCACACCGGTTAACTTTCCTTTAAAATTTATCCCACAAAAAATACATAATTTCACAAGAATCTCGAAATACTTTTCCATAAATTTTTTTGTGACAAATGAATAATTAAAATTTAATTTTTCCTTTAACAAAAACGCACATGAAATGCTGAATAAATAGAGGAGGCATACAAGCTCATGTTTTGGTCACACTTGCTACTATTTGTGGGATGGGCTTAATCTCGTGTTAGGGGCTTTCACATAGTTCACGTGATTTGTTTAATCAAACAAAATACCAACTAACGACTAAACCTCAAAAACCCTAACAAGAGAGAGTAATAATAAATACTTCACAAATCTACTTAAAAGAGCATCTTCTTTGGATAAGTTAGTGCATCATCATTAAGGTCAAGTGTTAGCTCAGTAAACACAATTTTCTCTTTTTTGTGCTCTATTAGAGCTGTTAGTGAGTTGGCTTGTAGATTAAAAAAAAAAAAGGTGAATTACAAATTTTTACTCATATAGTTTAATTTAAATTTTATTTTGATTCTTGTTACATTAGTTTGAATAATTTAGTCCCTATATTTTAAGTTCATTTTTTACACTTGAAAATACCGACATATGTTATAAAATCATTAACTTTAATCTCTAAGTTTTTTTTTTTTTTTTTTCCTAGTCACAAGATAGCAATTAGTATGTTAGTAATTGGATTACAACACAAGAAAAATGTCTCTTTATATATTCAAATTTGAAATCTCACTCACCTTGACACCTAAGTACCCTCTTCATGACTACTTGGGCAATTGCTCGAGGTCCTTTAATCTCTAGCTAGAACGGAAGAATCAATTGAAACTATACTTAAAGTGTAAGAAGTAAATTATTTGATTTAAAATAATAAAGACTAAAGTAAAATTTAAATAAAATTACAAGAGTTGAAATTGTAATTTAGCTTAAAAAATAGTCAAATGTTAGAGTATACTAACTGTAATGGGTCATTTAAGCAAGAAGAGATAGAGACATTTTAACATTTAGGAAAAATGTTATAGGCCTCAAATTTTTTACCTAATAAATGATCAAATATCTCAAATTCTCTACCAAATAAATTACCAAATATCTTAGTACACAAAATTGGACCCCAATTTTTGACACAAACTATAACATATTATTGTTGCAAAACAAAACACTACAACAAAGCAAAAGCAAAGCAAAACAGAAAATGACAAACAAAACCTACAACCTAACTCAGTTTCCCGCCAAAACCACAAGGATTTGAAAGACTAAGGCCTAGTTTGGGAAGACTAAATAAGTGCACTTTTTGACTTTTTATGAAATATGGGTTGGGTTTGGATTGGGTTTAAAGTGATGTGACTTAAATAAGATGATGTGACTTAAATAGGATAGTAATTTTTTGACTTTTTGTCTTTTTTGTCTCATGCCAAACTTGGCCTAAGAAAAAGTTTGAGATATTGAAATAAATAAAACACATCCAAACACTACTTAGCAGCTAGCTCAGAAGATTCCTTGACAGTGCATCTCCAGCAAGTCCATATCCTTATTATTAACATCAAAGCTCATCTCCTTATCCATTAACTCAGCTGGCATCATCTCCATCTCCATCTCCAACTTTACTTTATAGCTCTCATTGTGCATCGATCCAAAATCATCTTCTTCAACAGCCATTTTCTCATAAATTTGATAATCCACTGCCTTATCCGAATGAGAAGTTGGGTCTTTTTGATCTTTATTGTCTTCTTCCAAGTCGGTATTATCAATGATTCGCAAGATGGAATCGGATGATAGGCTTTCTTGACCATCAGTGACAGTTGAATCTGAAGGCAAGCTCTTAATGTAGTCCTGCAAGAGAGAGCTGTACTGACGTTTACGCTTGCTAATTTGCCGCCTTTTTGTTGCATTCCAATGGTTTTTTATGGTGTTTTCAGTCCTGCCTGGCATTTCCCTTGCAATGGCTGCCCACTTGTTACCTAGTTGTCTATGGACCTCAATTAGCTTCATCTCCTCTTCCTCACTCCATATATCTTTCTACAAATGTAACAAAAAATAATACCAAAAAAACAAAAAAACAAATGGTCATTCTTGTAAAAAGTTACGATACAAGTATGAGAGCATACGTTAAATTTTTATTTATTTATTTATAATTTCTAGTATTATATTATATATGATTTCAAAGAACAATTTAAGAATTATATATTAGTTTAAGAGTTAATAACTAACTTTAGTCAGAAATAAGAAAATATTTTTAAAAAACTATTATTGCATTTTTTCTAACAGTAACAACTTGAATTTTATAATAGTTTGAATATGTGACCTGTACAAAAAGTATATGATACTTTTCAAAATTAATATAAAATATCGGATACGTATTTTGAAGTATCAAATGAATATTAATAAGGAAATGACATGAATATGCTCTCTTTTGAATGTATCCATTCTCTATCGTTGTACTAAAAATTTGTATTTATTTTTTAGTGCACACATGAGAAAAATGAAAAGCTTGATATTCCACTCCATGAACTGTGTATATGCATATTTATGTTTTTATGCAAAGGATTTAATTAAAATACTAATAATATAGCACATGGCGCTTGTACACATGTATATAAAAATAAAAATAAAAAAATTAATAATCAAAGTATTAAAAATTGTATTTATTTTCTAGTGCATAGCATGTGTGAACACACGAGAAAAATTAAAAGCTTGATGTTTGATTCCATGAACTATGTGTGAATGCGCATTTGTGTTTTTATGAAAATAATATAGATAAAAATTCTAATAATCTAGTGTGGTGTGTGCATAGAAGAAAAATGATTAATAGAAGTACTAAAAATTGGTATTTATTTTCTAGCACATAAAATGTGTGCGCACACGAGAAAAATGAAAGGCTTGATTCCACTCTATGAACAGTGTGTGAATGCATATTTGTGTTTTTATGCAAATAATATAAATAAAAATCCTAATAATCTAGCGCGTGGCGTGTGTGCACATACATAGAATAGAAAAAAGTAGAAGAAATAGAAAACCATAATATCTAGCTTTAAATGGTTATGCTAGTAATAGAAACAAAAGAAAAAACTTGATATTCTAGGGTATAGCATGTGTGCAAAACACAAAGAAAAAAGAACAAACTTTATATTTTATGCAAAGTGATATTTGTAGTAGAAGTAGTAGTAGTAATAATAATAATAATAATAATAATAATAATAATAATAATAATAATAATAAAGTATTTACCTTTTAATGCATGGCGCGTGTACACGCATGAGAAGGAGAAGGTTGATGTTCCACTCAATGAACTGTGTATACACGCATTTATGTTTTTATATAGAATATATATAAACAAATAAAAGAGAAGAAATGAAAAACCTTAATGTCTGGCCTTAAATGGTTATGCCATCTCTCCCTACATTGTTTCCCCATTCTCCCATTCAACATCTGAGCAATGTGAGACCATTTTTTATCTCCATATTCCTTCACTAATTGCACCAATAACCTGCAAATTGGAGAACAAGGAATCTCCACTGACATGGGATGAATATAAATCCATGACGGTTACCATGCATGTGAGTTTCACACTCTAAATCATGTATATATATATATATTCTCTTTTGGAAATTAATTGGCACATTGCGTCATTATTTTGTGTTGGTATGCCAAAATTGCAGGTTATCAATGAAGTGCTGAGATTGGGAAATGTTTCTCCTGGGATACTAAGAAGAACACTGAAAGATATCAATTATAATGGTAATAAATTACTAAATAAATGTTTGCATCTAAGTAAATTCATGATCTATGGGCTCCTATGTTTTCAGAATTAGGTTGGATGAGATTGTTAGAGATGACACTATTAGTGTGGGGGATTGTTAGTGAGGGAATTAAAAAAAATTGTGTTTGTTTGTCATATATTTTAGTAAGAGGATTAACTATATAAAATATCATAAACACTCTTCTTGGGTGTTTTTGATATATTTTAATATCAAAAAATCATATTTTAAAAATATTTTTTTGTCTAATATTATTTTAGTATATATATATATATAATGACATAATACCCCCCCACACACAAACAAAAAAGGCCCACACAAATAAACAACACATAATATGGGCAAAATAGGCTTTTTTTGTTTTTTTGTCAGACTAATCCCCTCACTAGTTTTGAAATCCAACCCTTAGAGGTCTTTGTTAATCCCTTCCTCTAAGACCTCTCATAGTCCTAAGGGATTGTGAATCCACTTTCCTATTTTGTAAACAAACACCTTTATAATGGGTTCCACATTTATCCTAATTCAATCCCCTCCTCTATCTCTCAAACCGTTGAAGATATGTCATCTTGCATCCCGTTATTGATCTAATGTTACCCAGATCATGTGAGGACCAATATTTATTGCCACGTATACGATCAGGATTAAAGGCTTGAATAACCTTCCTTTATTACCCTTACTCTGCCACGTGTCGAACTGTAACTAGCTTTTACAAAATATGTAGCCAACAGTTTGTAATGCGTGAAACTTGAATAATTGTAAAATAATTCTATTTGGGCTTAAACAAATATGTAATTTCTTTTTCTAAGCTTAAAAAAATCAAATTTGTAATTTCTTCTTTTTTTTTATTTATGCTTACTTAATGAGTTTGTGATAGTCAGAACAAATAACTTCTACAACTGTGTTTTAAATTTTTTGGGTGTATTTAAAAAATTTAGTGTGCTTCAGTGTTCTTAAATTTTACATAATTGTAAGTGTACTTTTTGTATTTTTGTATTTTTTTGTGTATTGCTGTTAATTATACTTTTCATAGAAAATAAAAAGATCCATTATCCATTATGTCATATCAGGTTCGTTCAAAAAAAATATATATATAGTGTAAGTTTATATTCAATATATATATATATATATATATAAAATTGTGAAGCATAAAATATGTGCAATTATTTAGACTTACACTCCCATTTGATTTGGACTGTACCAATCTTTGTCAAAATGTAAGTTTTTAATTTGTTAGTTTCATTTATAAAAAACTTCAATAATATTTACATTTTGTTTCTTTGTATATAATAAGCCAATTACAAAGCCAAAGTTATTATTATACTTTATTAGTCAAAGTAATTTACTTATAGGTTTGTATATATAACAAAAGTTACATACTTCATTTTTTGTCAATTCCATCTTATTTTTTGTAGTTTAATGTTGTCATATATGTATATTCAAAATTGCATCAAAACAATTTGAAGAGATTGTTGAACGTGACGTTTGATTTGGACTCTGTGACGATCTACGTCAAAATATAAGTTTTGAATTTTGAATTTCGTTTATAAAAATTTTTAACAATATTTACATTTTGTATCTTTATACATAATAAGCCAATTAGAAAACCAAAGTTATTATTGTACACTATTAGTTAAAGTACGCATGTGAACAATTTTGGCTCACTTTAAGGACGTAAAATTGTAATTTAATCAATGTACATTATTAGCAAACTAATTTTTACATATATCTTATATTTTTTTTTTTTTTGCAGCAATTGCAGGATCTTCAGCCTCATGTTACCAAATTAAAACTTTATATGAATTTTTGTTGTAAATTTTTTTTAGTTACGATCAGTAAATATTGTATTTTTTTAAAGATTTGTACATCTTTTAATGTACATGTATTTTATTTATCAAATACGTTAATATCAAATGTTATATTGTACATAATTATTCATATGATTTATATGTATATTATTAGATAAAATAATATCAAAATCATATTATAATTTTAAACAAGTTTGCACACGCATCGCGTGTGCCCAGCCGTAGTATATATATATGTGTGTATACTGTGCACACAGTGGAAACCAAATCCTAAACTCTCTCCTCTCTCTCTTCTCTCTTCTCTTCTTCATTTTCCACTGTCGTTTCTCCCTCTAAATCTGCATCTTGGTCTGGAGATCACCCAAACCTGTTTCTCTCTCTCTCTCCTCTGACCTCACCACCACCAACACACACACCGCCGGAGCCCCATCGTTGTAGCTCCTCTAGCCACGTCAACCGTCTCTGCTGCTTCTCGAAGATTCTTCACGATCTCTGCCGCGGAATCTCTCATCCGTTCGTCGGAATCTCCGCGGGATCTCGGCCTCCTTCGTTGTCCGCCACTGTCGCCGCTGAAGGCCTGCTCGACCGATCTCCCTCCTGCTTCAAATCCAAGTCCAACAACTCCACCATCAGATCTGATAGCTACACCGATCACTCGCCTGTACTCGAGTTCGAATCCTCTCCAGTCTCTCTCTCCGGCTCATCCTCCCGGCAACGGATCAGATAGAGCCACATCACCTACATAGAAATAAGCGGCTCAGATTCGTTTCCTTAAAAATAAAAAAATATATGCCGGTGCACACACTCTCAATCCGTCCTTTCTCACCGACACAGACTCATCACAGCTCTCTCTCTCTATATATCTATCTATCTATCTATCTATCTATACTATTATAAAGTGAACAGGAACTTTGGTGTCCTGAAAGCTTTACTCTCCTCATGCCATGTGGCAGTATTTTTTATAGCTTTACTCTCCTCATGCCATGTGGCAGTATTTTTTATTTTTTAAAAAAAAGTTAAACAAAGAGATGGGTAAGGCTTGAACCCATGACCATGGGTTTAAGTACGAGGACTCATACCACTTAAGCTAAGTACACATTATAATGTTAATTTTTTTATTATTTTTTTTATTCCTACTTATTTAAATTGCACACACATCGTGTGTGCCACCCACTAGTATATATATATATATATATATATACACTGTGTTAATACATAACACGTTCCTGTGATTTCGTGATTCAGTTTTGGCAGTTTTTATCATTCTAATTCAAATGGATTTTCTATCTTGCATGTTATCGTTCTGAGGCTTTGATGTGCTAGGGTTTCATTGTTGCTCTGGTTCGGTGATTTTCAAGTGAAGACAACGAATTTCATATTGTTCGGTTCTCACATTTTCTAGAGTATAACTACTTCAAAGCGGTTGTTTTCGAATTTCTGGACAATTGTAGGATTGCATGATTAGGGTTAATATCATTTTGGTTATGAATACATGTTCACTTTATGTTTTGATTTCTAGGATAGATCAGATGCTCTGTTTTTTTATTGCTATGGATCAGATGCTCTGGTTTTTCAATTACATGCATCATACGTGGTCCTGTGGAGGGGAGGTCATTCAGATTATGTGAAAAATGTTATAATATTCCTTTTACTTTGATGTATCCATAATGAGGCTCTGTGTGAGTGATATAATTCAGAGTTTATGGATCAATGTGAATGTTTACATCGTGGTCCTGTGGAGGGGAGGTCATCAGATTAGTGTTGAATGTGGATCTGCTATAATTCAGAGTTTGTGGAACAATGTGAATGTTTACATCATGTTAGTGTTACGTGAAGAATGTGGATGTTTGCATTTTACTTTGATGTTTGCTTAATGAGGCTCTGTGTGGGTAATATAAATTCAGAGTATATGTGGCAATGTAAATGTTTACATCGTGGTAATATTATGTGAATAATGTCGATGTTCTCACTTTACTTTAATGTTTTCTTAATGAGGCTTTGTGTGGGTGATATAATTCAGAGTATATGTATCGATGTGAATATTCACATCTTGTTAATGTGAATTATGGATGTAACACTTGAACTATACATGTATTCATCTAATTTTTGCACAATGTGAATTTTCATATTGGTTTGGATTATTGTTGATTATTGTGTTGTTGTGTTTTTACAGGAGATGGATACCTTTATGATGTTGGTGTATACATATGGTTGCAGTACCACTATAATAAATGCTGCCCGCACATTGTGTTATTCGCGTTTGGTAGACTGTTAGTGTGAAAAATGGGGGGAGTTGTCTGCTGGTTCTATTTCATTGTTCTGTCAGTTACCTGAGATTAATAGATGTGATTTGGATAATGAGAAAGAATTTCAAAACATGTTACTGCTTGTTAAATCAATGGGAGTACAACATGTAGAAGTTGTGGTTGAGTTGAAAAGTGATATTGGTCAGTCAAGTAGCTCGGGATCGCTGCGTGTGGGGGTTGAGGAAGATATTGATGCGCTACGGAGATTTTGCCACTATAAGGAGAAGGTGTTGTTATCAGCCCCTTGGGCAAATGGTGTTACGCATGTGGGACAACGGTTTGTTGGAGGTGCACGAGAATTTCGTGAGGTTTTATGTAAGTATGCCATCTAATGTGGGTTTCAGTTTACGTTTGTCAAGAACGAGACAACAAGAGTTACTGCTGTGTGTGCGATGCGTGAGGAGAGAGGCTGCTTGTGGGCTATACATTATAGAGCATAACGAGCAAATGGTTTTTTCTACATCAAGAGGTTTAGTGATGCGCATAGTTGTGGTACGGATGTCCAAACATCGAAGAATCCGTGAGTTAGTTCGGATTTGGTGTCGAGTACCATAGCTAAAATTGTGAGGGACAAGTCGTTGACTCGACCGTGTGAGGTGGTGACTATTTTGAA